GATGCTCTTGCTCACTGAGCTCAGCAGTTTGCTTTGCCCCTGATCTTTCAAGATCTTCAAGGAGCTTGTCGAACTCTTCAGCGGCTTTGCTAGATGCATCTTCGGCAACATCGGACTTAGGAGGTTTCTTTTCTTTCTTTTTCTCCGATTCCCTAATCTTGACCTTAGGTTTGGTCCTAGGCTCGGAAGGCCTTACCGCAGAACCCCGTGTGACAAGGTCCTCAAGCGGCCGTTCGTCCTCAGAATCGGGAGCGAGGGCAGGAATCGCAGTACGCTTAGAGAGATTGAACCCATAACTCCGAAGCTTGGCTATTTCATTGCTCTGAAGCTTGGGAACAGCTCGATTGACGTACGCGGTAATGCTCCATCTATCCCCTTTCCAAGGAAGAACACAGTGAAAACGTTTGGGATCGAACTTCACAAGTTTGTTGCGGGAGACACGTTTCTTGCCATACAAAGTCTTCAACCCTACCTTCTGAGTAATGACATTGTGCTCTCCCTTTCGGGCAGCGGGGTCGTGAATCCAAAGTTCACCACCTTCGAAGCTGCCAAGACTGATAGTGAAGTTGGTGGAATCTTTCATGTTGTGAGCATCCTTGTGAACCTTAACAGACGAACCGTGATTGATGCAAACCGATGAGCAATCTCCCGTCATTCCATGATTCTGGAGGAATGCATTTATGTATCGGGTAGAATGGGCATACTTCTGCGTACGGTTAGTAATGCCCTGGACGCCACCATGAGCGAAAGCGCCAAGCACAAGATACTCGACGTTTCCGTCGGTGCGACCCTCGTTGTTTGTAATTGACTTACGATTGCTCTTGGAGGGCTTGCAGTTCATAGATTGCAGTAGCTTCAGACAAGACTTACACTGGAAGTCAAGGTTCTCAAGTAACTCTTTTGCAATTCTCTCTGAATCCTCAACACACTTGCCAGGTTTCTCAACCGGCGATGCAGGAAGGCTGGGCTCCGGACGTGGTCGCGCGGGAAGCGCAACGTTTTCCTTCCAAGACTTCAGGTAGGGAACGTTGTCCTTCACATCGAGATAAACCTTGTTCCCGTTGTGATCCCTGAAGTAGGGTCTACAATTAGCTCTCCAGATAAAGTCAAACCCTTCCTCCATGCACTTCTGTCCAACCGAGAGAACGGATGGTGAATCGGGTAGAACATATGGTTCGGCGGTCGTATTGATCGAAGGAATCCTAACCTTGCATTGTTTGTCAGCATAGTTAGGTCCGTTGGCGGTAATCATGTTGATAGGCCGATCCGACAAGAAATCCTTTACATCACCGAGAACGTTTTTCGATATCAAATCCTGGGCACTGCCAGTGTCGGCAATCCATTCCATTTCAATCACAGGATCTGACCTGCTCCCCTTTGCTGGGCATCCGACAGATATGCCGGGCGCAATGCAATGAGCACAACCGAACTCAGTCTTACACATGAACTTACATGCTGGATTCGTACCTTGGTTCATACCTTCAACGGTTGACCTCAGCATCTTAGCTGTCGCCAAAGCATCCCGGACATCCTGCCCATCAGGTTTGGGCTTGTAGTTAACAGGAAATTCTTCACTGAAAACCCTCGGCTCGATTTCAACCTCACGCCACTTGGAAGATTCAGGGGGCGTGGGAATATAGTGATACTCAGGAGCATTCGAGAATCGCACAGATGCCAGAGCAACGTGAGCGGTGCTTGCACACGAGTCAATGTAGTTCGGCATTTCCTTCCGGAAAGCGTGTGCATCGGCTTGGGATGCCGAACCTGCAACAAGTGCGCCTAAGAGGCAGACGGCGGCAGGAAGCGAAGCCTTAGGTTTCCGCCCCCCCGAGCCCTTGCTGTTCCCAGAGCCTTTGCTTCCCTTGGAGCCTCCACTACCCTTGGAACTTTTAGAGCTGGAACGAGACTTCTTCCTATGCTTCTTTTCTTTCTTCTGTTTCTTACTCTTCTTTTCGCCGCTAGACTCTCTACCGCTACCAGTGGCAGGAGCAGAAGGCTGGCCTTTGTGTATGAAACGGCACTTGTCACCCTTGTTGCATTTGCCATGCTTGAAGAATTTGCACTCGGCATTAATCTTCCCAGGAGATGGGCTCCCCCTTCCGGAGGGCGACTTGCCTCGGCCTTTACCTTTGCTTGGTGTCCTACCACGTGGCTTCTCGGGTATCTGATGCTTATAGGAACATTTTTCTTTGTTGCACGAACCGTTCCGAACAAAGTCAATGCAGAAGCCTTTGGGCACACGCTTTAGCGGTGCGGGTGCCGATGGCATACCTGCTGCGGCCTGCCTTGCAATCCGTTCCCGGTTGCGCTCAAGCCGTTTGATCTTGATGACCCGGTTAACGGCATTGTACAAATACTCATAGGATTTCTCCTGTGTGCCGTCTACTGCCCTTTCATAGATGGCGATGTCGTGCGCCAAAAGCTTACACTTCTTAACCTGTCTATGAAACAAGGGTTGCAAAACATCGTCAGCAGGTGCTTTCTTCATGCCTGAGAGAACAGTGTCCCAGTTACGCACGAATTGCACGAGGTTTTCGTTAAGCATGACGACATTGAGCAGATCCTCCATATCGTACACAGACCCGTGGAGCGCGTTGGTCGACAAATAAGCATTGAGCTTATGCAGAATCTGACGGCCACGAACTAAGCGCCCTTCGTGCCCTTCCCTCTCTTTAAAAGTGTCAATCTGGCGAGCAAAATCACCTTCCAGAATGTTTGTGATTGCCGAGAGGATCTTCGCATCAAGCGTTGTGAATCCGCTAGGATCACGAAGGGACTCTTCCGTGGTATCATCCTTCCACACTTCACCGAGCCACTCGAAAGCCTCATCGGGACGGTCAGAGGCGGCGACCACAGCCTCGCGTGCGCGAAGCCTCCAGTTACGATAGTTCTCTGGCTGGGGAAACTTCGGAAACACAATCTTCTCAGCTTCCTTCACCTTAGGCCTTCCCCTTGTCGCCTCGGTTTCCTCGTCATCGTCCTTGTCTTTCTTAGACTTAACGACTTTCTTGAACATCTTCAGGAGGTCCTTTTTAGATAGGGAAATAGACGACGATGATGATGAATCAGATGAGTCTCTTTTCTTTTTCTTCTTTTTGTCCTTTTTCTTTTTCTTCTTCTTGTCACGGGAATCGTCTTCGGGCTCATCCCCGTCGCCGTCGCTTTCGGGAGGCGAGTCATCTCCACCTCCACCTCCGCCTGGCGGACCACCATCTACTTTACCCAGACCCGGAGGGGTATGAATAGGGTGTTCAATGGGAGACTGATCTCCTACGGCAGTTGGTGAATATGCCGTGGCTTTCGCCAGGCGATCACGAAGCTCCGCATTGGTGCGCTCAAGCTTCGTCATCGACTCAGCCTGTTGGCGATGCACTTGCATGAATGCACCCATCTCAGACTTGAGTTGGCTTAGTTCGCCATTCATGACTGCAACGGTGTCTTGGCTAGCCCGACTTCGATTAGCCAGCTCTCTTTCAGCTTGGGCTACAACGTCGGAGACTGTAACCTCAGCCTGATGAAGCCTGAGCTTGTAGTCAATGGCTTCACGTCGCATCTGCGACAACTCGTCGCTGTGTTTATTAGCCATGCTTTCGCCGGCTGCTCGAAGCATTTCTTCTTTCTGTTGCAGACGACTCTCCGCTTGGGCAAACTCCAACCGAAGTTGGGCAGCACCGGATAGCGCCTGTGCATGAAGCTGGTTGAATTGCTCCCTATGCAAATTGTTTGCTTCTGCCATGATCAATCTGTGGCGTGCTTCAGCTTCAGCTGCAACGGCTGGTCCTGTGTCTACTTGATGCACATGGACTGCTTGTTGCACCGTTGGCGCAAGGACATTTTGTTGATAGTAGTTCGCGACGTTTCTGATCTCGCTGGGTGAATATTGGGCCGTATTATATTGTTGAGGCGATCCCGCCAGGGATGCGAGTTGGTGCGCTGGGCTTGAGACATAGGCCCATTCTGACACCGCTCCTGGTGCACCTCTTCGGGGATCTGTTTGGGCCATCACGGCCAAGGTCTCTGCCGTCAGAGGACCAACTTGGCCACCCTCTCGGGTACCGGGGACAACCTGATCCGTGCCATCGTCTTGGACGGACATGGCAGGAAGAGAATTGAGATCCTCGGTATCGACGCGAGCCGCGGAAATGTCTATCGCGGGAATACCTGCAGGATTTACGGGAGCATCCATCGCGATCTACAAACGAAGTGAGACCTACGGCTGATAACCTATGTTTACAGGCAGAACAGCCAGAATGCAGACGCATATTTTCTTGAGCCAATGAATGACGGTAGGTGCAGTTGACTAGCTACATCTTCCACAAAATACAGACTTGCAAAAACAAACCGTGATCTTCGGTCGAAGATTGTATCAAGACCTGGCGCGCACCCGTTGCACGGAGTGCTTCTGCCCCCAAGACAAGGGCCAGAATGATTGTCAGAGGGCTTGGGGGGTATTTGTAGAATACGATATGGCCACTTCTCTAGATTAAGGCCCCCTTGTACGTCCCCAAAATAGTATGGCACTTATAAACAGGACCCAAAAAAAAAACCCTCATTTGAAGAACTACCCACATGAAGATCTTCAGGGGAAAGCAACACTAATTATTAAAAACCTCAACTGCAGGGTCTAATGCTTAACAAGACCTAAGAGTAACCTAGGAATAAAAAATGTGCCCTCTTTGGTTTGAAGGGGGCTATACGGTAGCCTAAACCCTAAAAAGGTGAATAAGGGCTTGCTCTGGGTCCCAGTTTATGTGTGCACACCCTGTATGAGGCAGCTCTGGGTCCATTAGCAGGTTGGCCACCAGCTTAGGGAAGATGGGAGTCCCGCAATCATAGGCAAACATGCCCGATCTTAGGGTTTAGGGTTTAGGGCTTAGTATATTTAGAGTTTAGGGTTTAGGGTTTAGAGTTTAAGGTTTAGGGTTTAGGGCTGTAGTCTGCATATCTATCTGATACCTTGCAGGCCCTAAATCCCGGAGAGAGCACGTGACTACCGAAGCCTCCTCTAGACCGCGCGAAGTATTGGCGATGTCCACCTGCCGAAGTTTAGCGGACATAGGGGTTGATGTAGGGGCTTTGAAAACAAGAATCGGGTTTTGGGATAGCTTACACTAAGATAGTGCCGTCACTCGGCACTTTTGTACTCTCTGCCAGCTCGAACAGTACATGAAAGAGTGCTCTCTGACTCCTGCATGGAGTTAATTAAGCATGGATACGGTTTGAGGGTTTAGGGTTTAGAGTTTAGGATCTATCTTCCACAATTCCTTTCAAGGCGCGGTTGAGGGTTCGCATCTCACCCCGAATTCCTGGCGCATGCATGCCAGAAACCCTCTAACAACCCGCATAACACTCTGCAACATCGTCTAACAAGCCCCATATAAAGCCCAGAGTAAACCCTGTATCCGCCTCCAAGCAGCCCTGATAAACCTAAACCCTAAACCCTAAACCCTCTAACACCCTTGTAGAACCCACAGCCTGTACTCCTACACCATAGGCTCCGAACCCCTTCTCTTGTAAACGTGATAAACCCCCTTCGAGAAGCCCCTGCAAGCCCCACAACACCCGATAAACACATCCTACGCAACCCAATAACAGCCTTAAAACAAAAAAAAACCCTAACCCCAAAAAAACCCTAAACCCCAAAACAAAACTTGAAAAGCCCCTATATCGGCCGTGGTGCGAGGAGTCCGGGAGCCGCGGCCACTTCCAGAGACTCCCAGGCCTGCCATGCGGTGTGGGTTTTGGGGTTCAAGGTTCAGGGTTTAGAATAGCTATATCAAGGGTATATACCTAGGGGTCCTTATTAAGGGTCCCTCCTCTTACCCTTGGAGTTTAGGGCATAGGGCTTTGGGTTTAGAGTTTACCTTAACCCCAAGTAACCTACCTTTTTAAGGACTTATATAAAGAAATCATATTTAGGGAACCCAAAAAAGGTAGGTTCCGTAGGGTCCAGGTAGGGTAATTGTTGTCTCATGGCCGTTAGCTCAATAGCAAGCCTTTTGTCCGCGACTTTGTTGACTTGGGTGCTGTTGAGATGGTCACGAAGACTACGACAGTCCGTGATCCACAAATGCCTCATTTTCTTTTGCAAGTTCACAAATAATTGCTCTCAAGCGATCTCCGTTCTCCACTGCTGTTTGCATTGCGAACGTCTCCGATGCCAATGGACTGCGAAGCGGAGGGCGTGACGACGAAGAGATTCTGTACTCGCGAGCAGAACCTTGCTGCGACGACCCGGGGCCGGGTGGGAATCTAGGGTTTAGGGTGGATTTAGTGTTTAGGGCTTAGGGTTTCGGGCTGAGGGTGGCAGAGTTTGCTTTTTGGGAATGAGGGTTTAGGGTTTCTGGTGGGTAGCACAGTTTGCTTGTTGTTTTTTGTGCGGAGTTTAGGGTCCTTTGGGCTGAGGGTAGAAGAACCTGTACATGTTTTATACAAGTGGGTTAGAGGTGCATATAGGGCTTCCACACGTGTTAGAGAGTTTTCTCGGAGGGTTGGGCTGCCACCTCAAAACGTCAAGGCCCCTATCCCAAACCCTCCGAACAAGCAACCTTTATGCCTTTCGAAGAACCCTAGACCCTTGTACTTTTCCACGAGAACTTGCTACACAAACCCTGTTCGAAATAGTGCGGCACCTAACCCAAAGGCTCCATGTTCCAGTATTTTATACACTTAAACATTAAACCAGTCTCTATATACCTACTGTAAGGCCTAAGTGTATACTATAACATACGTACGTGGAGCCTTGAACCCTGAACCCTATTAAACCCACCCGTAGTACTTGTAGAACCCTTTATGGTACGCTTAGATCAACTCTGAAAGGAACCCTCAAGGCACATGGAGCCTTAGGGTAAGTTAATATGGTGCCTTAATAATTCGAATCTGGCTTTGGGGTAAAGTATATACTGTAGTTATGGTGAGGAGCCCTCAACCCTAAGCCCTAAGCCCTGAACCCTAAACCCCTGAACCCTAAACCCTAAGAATAGTACCCACAATTGCTTAGCCTCCAATCTTTCCTGGGTTGGCCTTTAAACACCCTGAAAAATATTTATATATGGGGTCCCTTATAAACCCAAATAAGGAAAATAAAAAATATCCCAAAATCCAACCTAGTTTCGCCCCCCAAGAGTCTGAGGAGGCCTCCTCCTCGCTGAGCTCGAGGCCCTCGCTGGGCACAGGGGGAGAGATCCGGCCTCAAGCGGTTGAGGGTTTAGGGCTTGTAGCAGCTGTTAGCGATTTCGGGTGCCGATAAGTTTAGAGAGAAACGTGTTGAGCCAAACATGCTGAACGAAAGTTTCGCTTTTGCAACGTGATTTTCACTTTTGGTGGTTGGTGGCTCTGCTGCGCCGGACTCCGCTGTGGGGGCTGAGGCTGGGGTGGCTTAGGGGATTCAGATACTTGTAAGGGCTGATCGTGAAGAATACGGTTTCTGTCGATGTTGATTCCTGAAGGTATACTTAGTGCCCTGTCCAATTCATGCAGCATTAACCATGCCTTTGTCATAGCTCGACGAAACTTGTACCGCTAAAACTTCAGGTGGTTAAGGTTTCGGGTTAGGGGTTATACACATAAGATCCGCCCCTAAATATATAGATATAAATGCATATAAATATATAAACATATGAATATAAAAATATATGAATATATAAATATATGAATATATAAATATATAAATATTTTGATATATATATATATATGTATATAAATAAGTATATAAATAAAAAATACAAATATATAAATATATAAATATATAAATATATAAATATAAAAATATAAAATTAAAAAATATATAAAAATATATAAACATAAAAATATATAAATGCACAAATATATGATATATAAATACATAAAAATATAAATATATAAATATATAAATATATAAATATATAAATATATACATATATAAATATATAAATATATAAATATATATAAATATATAAATATAAGATAGATAAGTATAAAAATAATATTATAAAATACAAATATATAAATATATAAATATATAGATATATAAATATATAAGTATATCTATATATATCAATATATAAATATATAAATATATGAAAATATGAATATATAAATATATAAATATATAAATATAGTTATATAAATATATAAATATATAAACATATGAATATATAAATATATACATATATAAATATGTCAATATACAAATATATAAATATGTAAATATATAAATATATAAATATAGATATATAAATATATAAATATATAAATATATAAATATATAGATATATAAATATATAAATATATAAATATATAAATACATAAATATATGAATATGTAAATATATAAATACAAATATATAAACATATGAATATATAAATATATGAATATATAAATATATAAATATATAAATATATAAATATATAATTAAACATATATATATAAATAGATGTGTATATATATATACATTCTGTATATATATATATATGCTATTATGATATCAAACCTTTAACGTTCAGAGTTTCGGGCTTTGGGCCTGCAGTCCACTCTTTCAAAACTTCAGGACTCGGGGCTCGGGTTCGGGCTTGAGGCTTTTAGGTTTTCGGGGCTTCAAGGCTTGCAGGTTAGGTACTGCCCCCATACAGTAAGAGTCTATAATGGGGCTACTACTAAGGTCCTAATCTATATTATGAATAATACTCAAATATTACTGAGCGGGGGCCATACCCAACTTGCAGGCTCTAAGGTTCCAGGGTTTAGGGTACCATAGAGGCCTTAATAACTAAAATAGGGTTTTGGGGCCCACTATACTATACTTATAGTGACGAACTCCCAAATAGTATAGGTAAGTATCAAGGCCCTTATAATATACTAGAATGCAGAGATGTGGAGGTTTGGCTGTAGGTTGGGCTTTGAGATTCGCCGGTGCTGACTTGCGATCCAGGGATTATGAACCTGTTTCATGGCCTGTATAGGGCCCAAAAAAAGCACATAAGCAAAAATTAGGATAGGGATATCCCATATCCCCTTATAATGAAGCCCAATAAGGTAGGGATATCCCCATAAAATGCTTATGCTTATGTGTTTTTTGGGTCCCTAACTATAGACTACGCATAGGCAACGGACTATAACGATTCAGCTGAAATCTTGAGAACAGTCAGCCATTAACTACTAAAGCGACCTGCCCAAGCCCCAAATTGTAAACCCTTTCCCTCTAATCTAAGGAAGCCCGACGGCAAACCTGTCTGATTTCTATCTAAGTAGGAAACCTCAACCAACAAGAAAAGAAGCTGTACTGGACCATATTAATTGAAAAGAAAGTTGACCAGAATTAGATTCCCTAAGACCCTGACTTTTACCTTACATCCCAAACCCGACGCCCTACCTCCAAAACCCAGAAACGCAAATCTAAACCCAAAGCCCCCAACCCTTTACCCTAAACCTGAAACCCATCCTAAACCACCCTTCAACCCTAAACCCTAAACTCCAAAACCCTAGCCCTGAACCCTAAGCCCCAAACTCAATGGGTCCTTTGGACCCTTGGGTTCAGGTGCTCTGGTCGACGCTCGGTGGATCCGCGCCAGCGCAGTGAAAGAGGGCCAAGGACAGCTCACGATCCTGCGCGCTCCCCCAGAGACTGCAGGGCTCAATGTTTAAGGTTTAGGGCTTAAGGGCTTAGGGTTTGGGGTTTCGGGGTTTTGGGGTTTTTGGGGATTAGTGGTAGGCTTCAGTGCTTAGGGTTTAGGGTCAACGGTTTTATAGGGTTTAGGGGGCTTCCTATGCGGTTTCCGCTGGGGAGTGTTGTGCTTACGGAAAGAGTAGAGATGTGCGGGTTTAGGGCTCGAGATGGTTTGAGGTTTCAGGGATCGAAATGGTTTGAGGTTTCTGGGCTAAGGACAGAAAGAAGAGGATACAAGTTCATCGAAAACGTCTCCAGCTTGGGTCTTCGGGTTCTAGCGTTTGGGATGCAATGTTTCAGGGCGTACAACTGAAGGCTTACTTGGAGGGTCGGGGGACTTAGTAACTGGTTATTTTAGGGACTTATAAGTACCATAACCCCAATTAGGGTCCCTTCTAGGGTACTTATAAGTCTACCTACTACCTACTTACTAAGTCCCCCGCCCCTCCAAGTAGGGTGTCGGGTTTCGTCGCAGGCTGGCGCTGGAAAGTCTCGGGGATCCTCGGGAATCAAACTAGACCCCAAACCCTAAACCCTAGCAAGTCCTACAGAAAGCAGGGTTGCGAGGTGGAGGATCCTCTACATAAATCCGGGCAACCTACTATAGGGGTCTTTCAGAATTAGAAGGTTTTGGGGTTAAGGAATACCATCGGTAATTCTGCTTACAAGCCCTACTTATAACTAGCCATGAACCTCCAAGTAAGGGGTTAGGGCTTAGGCTTCTGGTTTTTACGATTCAGAGCGCGGTTTCTACTTGGAGGTTCATGGGTAGTTAGTAAGTAGGGTTATAATTAGGGTAACTATACTTAGAACCCATATTGGGGGAGTTACAACCCCACCTATAACTTCCCATGAACCTCCAAGTAGGCCCTAAACCCTATACCCGTATAGAATCCCTATAGATCCCTTTAAAGGGACCCTTCAAGGAACCCTTATAACTACCCATGAACCTCCAAGTAGACGCAACGCGAGTCATCTAACATCCGAGTGGCCGAGCTCAACGCATCGAAGGCCCAGGCCTGATCCAGCGTACCAGGGTTTAGGGTTTAGGGGTTTAAGGTTTAGGGTTTAGGGTTTAGGGTTTAGGGGTTTAAGGTTTAGGGTTTAGGGCTAAAGTGGGGGATTTAGGGTTTAGGGTTTAGGGGTTTCAGGTTTAGGGCTTAGGGCTAGAATTGGGGATTTAGGGTTTAGGGTTTACGGTTTAGGGTTCAGGGCATGTACTCATATAGTATATACATTGGCCTTAATTAAGGTAGTCCCTATATAGGTACTTTGGGGCTCATGTATCTCTATATGGGTACACGGACCCTTAGGGCTAGAATTGGGGATTTAGGGCGGGCTTACGTTGAAGGGTTTAGTGTGAGTTAAGGGTCTTTTCGTGGTTGGTTGATCGTTGTTACAGGGTTCAGGGTTTAGGGCTTTAGGTTGTGTCTGGGGATCATTCCCACAAATCCGCACTTTCTGTCCAATTCCACCACACACACAAACCCCAGAAATGAGGCATCCATTCAGCTCCTTGCAACCCTCAACCCCAAACCCTCAACCCCTAAATGCCCAACCCTTGCAACCCAAGCCCCAACCACGAAATCCCAAACCTTAATCCACACCGGAGCCCCCGAACCCCTAACATAAGGGCCTCAATAATTCGAATAGGGCTTTGAGCAAATATTCTATAGCATACTGAAACACAACAATAACGAAGGCAACAGCTGCCATCATCATAACCACAACCATGCGCACCAACAGCTATGGGCCGTAGATGTCCCTGCTGACTGAGGGTGTGCTGGCTGCAGATTCCCCCCCCGTCAGTTGTGTCAGGGTTGAGGGGTTTATGGGTTTAGTGGTTTAGAGCATTTAGGGGTTTAAGGGTTTTAGTGTTTACCGGGTTCAGGGGTTTCCGGCTCGATCATTGAACAATCATTGGGGGCTTCGAGGAGGCAGCCTGGGCTGCCTGGTGAGGCAGGCCGACATACAGATATGGGAGTTTTCGAAAAGGGAAAACCCAATATAGTACCCTAAGTAGATCCTGATTAATTTTAAGGAACCTCCCAATTGAACATATGAACACTAAGCCTTAACCCCTACATTCCCTAAACCCGAAGCATAAAGCACTTAATCCCAAGCCCTTAACTCTAAATAGACCCTGAAGCCTAGCAAACCGTAAACCCGAAGCCCCAAGCATCTCCAAACCTTAGAGCATTCAAACCCCTCACCTCCCAAATGATTACTACAGCATAAGCCCCAAACCTCAAACCCCTAAACCCTGAACCCCCGAAATCCTTAAACTCCAATTCCCAATATTCCCAGACTCCAAACCCCTAAACCCTGAAAACTGAAATCCACACCTTCATCTCTTCGGAGGAGAGCTGGGGAGCCACTTCCCCGAGCGCCCTGAAGCTTGGAGCTTAGGGTTTAAGGTTTAGAACCGAGGGTTTAGCTAGGGTTTTACGGTTTGGGCTTTAGGGCTTAGAAAACCGGGTTGCCGGTATAGGGAAGGGTGGCGGCCTGGGGCTTAAGAGATAATGCAACCTGTAGGGCTTCGAGCTTGCAGGATAGGCTGGGGCTTTGCATCGTGTATAGCGGCATTGCAGTGGCTTTGTGAGCTCGCCGTCTATACAGCAGGGGGCTGTGGCGGGGAACTTCGGGGGGAGCACTGAGGCAACTTTGGCGATCTGGAGGTTCGTGGCCGGATGCATAGTGGCCTGGGGTTTGGCCACGAGGGATCAGGGTCATGCTCCCGAAACACTGCAACGAGCTTCCAGAATTGAGTGAATCTCGGACCCGGACCCGGCCCTGCTAAGTACCAGACGGCTGTATGAAAAGACTGGATACAAATTCTGAAACTGCGCTAAACCCTAAATCCTAGGTCAAAGCCCCACACGACACCCCAAAACCCTGTGTTAAACGCCAAGCTTCAACCCGGTCCAGGTGGGCGCCGGATTCTGCAACCTCAGGTTGGGTTTAGGGTTTCGGTTTAGGGTTTAGGGCTTAGGGTTTAAAGGTTGGTGGTTGGTGGAGGAAGCCAGGACAAGTTATGGGGGTTGGGTTAAGTGGCTGTGGATAACTTGGTTGCGTTTGTTGGTCTACCCCTTAATTTCTGAAGGACTGCCTTGTCAACAATGAAATGCACTCAGTGAACCACATGACCACCAAAGTCCACGTAAACCCCCCACAAACCACCTCATGGTTTTCTGTCTGGTGCTTTGTAGGGAATGGGGGAATGGATCTCTACAGTAGCCCCGATGTAAACCCCAATAATAGCCTCCATAGTCCATTCCCCCATTCCCTACTAAGAACCAGACAGTGTTCTCGGGGCTTGAGGCGTTGATCGATAGCTGCCCCGACATGAATTCCACACCTGTGCATGAGGCTCCAGGTTTGGGCTTCGGGCTTCAAGATTTGGGTGCTCTTGCTGGGCTCAATTTTGACGGATTGAATTTCAATAACCATAAGAAGGAAATGCGAGTATTTACTATAAAGATCCCTACTATGGAAACTGAAAGGAAACTCCTTAACCAGAACCCAGATTGTTGAGCTAAAGTCCCAGGGCTTGCTCATTGCGAAACCTAGGTTCCTGAGTAGCCCCTTTATAATAAGGGTACCCTTTCTCCTACTATTCAGTCTTAATAAGGGAACCCAAAGACCAAAAGGGCAAATGGGTACCACAGGACCTAGTGGACCCTAAACCCGTGTAGATCCTATATAGAACCCAACCTTCATAGAACCCTCTAAGGAACCCTTGAAGGAACCCGACAAGGAACCCTTTAAGGAACCCCTTAAAGGAACCCTTACAGGGCTTAGGTGTCGTGTAGAGCCGAGCTGCTGCTTCTCCAACTCGAGCGACAGGAAGCTCGGTCCTTACTTAGAGGTTCATGGCACTTAGTAACTACGGTTATAGTTAAGGTAATTACACTTATATGTACTTACAACTGTACTTACTAAGTCCCATGAACCTGCAAGTAGAGGTGTGTCCGGGAGGGGGGTGGGGTGGTAGGATTTATAGGGTTTAAGGTTTATAGGGGTTAGAGGTTTAGGATGCTTTTCAGGTTTAGGGCTTAGGGTTTACGTAGAGGTTTAGGTTTTTGTCTCAGGTTCTGGGTTTATGCAAGGATGTTTATATAATCAGAACAAGTCGGTTAAGCACTTCGGGCCTTTGGCTATGAGTGCATAGATGCGGGGCTACGCTACTTGTGCGGTTCACGTCTCAGGAGAGTGGATGCTGCTTAGAGAGCATCGCAGTAGCAGCATCTTTTGGGCTTAGGGTCAAAGAGCATGCGGCTTCTCCCTGAGATTCACCAGATGAGCCAGCTGGGGGAACTCTGCATGGTCAGTGATTTTGCAAGCCTTACCACTCTCGTTCTCCACCATTTGCACTGCTCCTGAAAACAGGCAGTTGAGGACGTTGTCGTCCGTCAAAAGCTGAGAAATGAAATGGGCACTTACTGCCAAATTGAACGGCAATGTGAAAGCCAGACACTTTGTACTGTCCCGCCTGCCCTGTGAACAGGGGTGTCCCGCTCCAACCGGGCTCTGTGTTGATGTCATGCATCAACGCCCCGGTCATAGATGTATAAGCTGGCGTGTTGCGCAAACCGCCTGCGTTCCCTAAACCCTAAACCGTAAACCCTAAACCCTAAACCGTAAACCCTAAACCCTAAACCCTAAACCCTAAACCCTAAACCCTAAATCCTAAACCCTAAACCCTAAACCCTAAACCCTAAACCGTCTTCACCCGCCTTACCCCTAAAGCCTGCCTCTTCAACCTCGAGCCCCACGTCCCAGCCTTAAGGGGTTTAGGGTTTAGGGTTTAGGGTTTAGGGTTACGAATCCAAAAAAAACTCCTCAGTTATCGGCCGTCCTTCTGTGGGTCCCTCTGAAATTTGAATCCTGAACCCCACACTCTACCACCCCAAACCCTACACCCAAACCCAAAGTTCTTGTGCTACCTATAGTCTCCATTGTAGTTCCTTTGTTTGGTTAACCCAAAACTCTACTATAGGATCCTAACCATAAAACTGGGTAACCAAAAAAAGGAACTACAATGGAGACTATAGGTACGAAACTATGAACTTCGAGCTTCCCAATTTTGGCTTGGGGCCCCGTGCTCGGCTTTGCCACAACCCCAAACACTACCTGGCCCCTAGAAAACTAAGGTCAACCCGAAAGCCCCAAAACCCCTAGAGATCCCTTAAAGGAGCTCCCAGAAACTCTACTTGGAGGGTCGGAGGACTTAGTAACTGGTTATTTTGGGGGACTTATAAGTACCATAACCCCAATTAGGGTCCCTTTTAGGGTACCTATAAGTCTACTTACTACCTACTTACTAAGTCCCCCGACCCTCCAAGTAGTCTAGGCAGTACTAGGTGTCGATTTCAACAGTCCCTAAAATCATTTACGATTAAGGCTCCGTATTAGAACAATAAGAGAAAGCAGAGACTCTCCCGAATCGATACGTAGCAGATAAAACCAAGTTCCCCAGTAGCCCCTTAAAATATCCTTTTTTTCCTACTATTTGGTTCTACCCCGTAACAATAAGTGTGCCCTTCTTCCTGAATTCGGTTGTAAGAAGGGAACCCACAAAGCTGGTTTTAATACGGGAACCCACAAAGAACCAGGGCAAAAGGGTACTAATTACTGGGGAACCTAGCAAACCTACCTGTTTAGGGGAGCTGCCGTGCTCGTCGTGGGCGTAGCCTCTCGGTACCTGGCCGGGGTATCGGCTCGGCTGCGGAGTTGGCCCATACCTCGGCTTGCAAGCGCCTTGAAGGTTGCTCTTTTAGGGCTTACCTTAACCTACAACAACCTACTTCTCGTGCGCTCTTATTATAAGCCCCAGTATGGAATTCATAGCGACCCTACAAAATAGTGGGTTCTGGTAGGTTAAGGTAGGGTTCAGGGCCCAGGCCTTCAAGCGCGGGCTTTCGGGTTCGAGGCCTACGGTTTGTTTGAGGTTCGGAGCTTAGGGTTTCAAATTTACCTGTTTTCAGGGTACCTATATATACTTTTCTATTTAACCGATCCTAACCATAAAACTAGGTATCCCAAAAAAGGGGTAGGGTATGAGCCTCTAGGTAGGGTTGGGTTTAGGGTTAAGGGCAGGCTTTTGACTTCGGGATGCCCTCGACTCTATATCCAAAAGCCCCAGGAGTGACTCTCAATCCTAAACCAGGATTGCTTTCGGGTTTCATATTTCGGGGTTTGTGCAGACTTAAAGGACCCTCAATCCTAAACGAGACTTGTTTTCATATTCCTGTGCACTTGAAGACTTAAACAAAGGAGTTGGAAAACGTTTAGGGCTTTGGGGAGCAGGGATTCTGTAGGGTCCTTACTTGGAGGGTCGGGGGACCTAGTAACTGGTTATTTTAAGGACTTATAAGTACCATATCTCCAATTAGGGTCCCGTTTAGAGTACTTATAAGTCTACTTACTACCTACTTACTAAGTCCCCCGATCCTCCAAGTAGACATGTCAATAAGCTTTTCTGGTACATCATGCTATACATATAAGGAACCCTAGGGACTCGAATTCGGTGGTGCACGGTCCCTACAAAAAAGGCCTTCACAGCTGTAACAAGCCTCTTGGGCCCCTCAGATTTCAGGACTGCCCAGAGTCTCCATTGTAGTTCCTTGTTTTGGTTTACCAGTTTCATGGTTAGGATCCTATAGTAGAGTTTTTGGTTAACCAAAAGAAAGAACTACAATGGAAACTATAGGCGATTTTGTAGGTTGAAACCTGCAACACAGAGCAGTTGACTGGGTCCCCCAATATCCCAGCAATAACAGGGATAACCTTGCTCCTTCTCCTCAGTTGGTTTTGGTAAGAAGACCCCTCTACGATACCCTTTTTATAGTAAGCATGATAGATTAAACTGACACATGATTCCCAAGGTACGCCAGCTCAAAGGTGCTAATGAGACCTCAACCCTCAACCCTAAACCCACACACTAAACCCCAAACCGTAACACCAACCTATACCTAAACCCTAACCCTAACCCTAACACCAACCTAAATCCTAACCCTAAACCTAAACCTTGATCCCAGCCACTGGAAATGACTCAGCAGCCGCGGCAGATCCTCGTCTGGACAGACTCGGACCGCATCCGCAAGAAGTGCAGAAGTATCCTCCGAACTTCACCGGGTACACCATACTGTTGATGGACACAATCCTGCACTACCCATTATAAGGAATATACCACAGTTCCCATAGTGTAGAGTCGTTAGGGTCATGCAGGATTTTGTCCATCAACAGTAGGATTTCGGCTTTAAGGAAGGGTTCAGGGTTTAGGATTTGGGGCTCGCACTCTGTAGGGGTCCGAGGCGCTGTTACACAGTCACTATACCCAGAGACTCCAATGCCCCCTAATTCAGGAATATACCTACACTGACGGGGAACCCTTAGTGGTTTAAGGTAGATTCCTTCATCAAGGGATATTGGAGTCCCTGGGTAATGAAGGGTTAAGTCATGAAGCTGCCACGTAAGGGTAAAGAGAAACTGAGCGCTGGGGCCAACCTCGTGTGGCTCACAGAGACGTGGGGTTTCGGGGGGCCTTCGCCTTTCGGGCTGCCCAGGAGCTCCAATATCCCTTGATTAAGGAATATATACCTTACAGCATATTCGGGATCCTACTATAAATGTCAGGTATATTCCTTAATCAAGGGATATTGGAGTCTCTGAAATCCCTAAACCCTCTAGATCCCTTATGATCCCTTAAGGGAACCCCTTAACCCTAGGTATTCCTGGAGTCTCTGGGTGTACCATACGAGCTGTCGGCAGAAGAGATCCGCAACTTCGGGTGAGTTTTTTTCGCCTTGACGGGTTATCTATATGGGTAGTTGTCAAAACTATGGTCCCGTTTTGGGGTAGCCTGAATAATAAGTGCCGCATTATAATAAGGACCCCAAAAAGGGCCATAATTTTGACAACCATCTAAATAGTATTAGGGTCCAGGTTCAGGACCAAAAGGGTGTAGGGTTTAGGGTTTATGTACTTGGGCTTTGCAGGGGTTCCTTTATCGGAACTGTAAGGCTCAGGTATATACTATATACTATAGAGGCTAGATCTTGAGAGGCACAGACCCTCCGCCAACGGAATCTAGGGCCTTGAGGCCTTAGTAATACCTTGTACTTAAACCGTAAGAATGAAAACCTATACTCTGAACCCGAAGATCAGAAAAGAGCCCCGAAACCCCCAAAATCCTGGAGCCTAAACATGCCTAAACCCTGAACATGCCTGAACCCCGAACATCACACAAGAGCCCAACAGCACGTTCTCACAATGAGATGCAGCAGTGCTGACCTCTCCGCCGTGTGCTGCTGCCAGCGCCACGGCCAACCTGGCATGAGGCATGCGGCGGGTATAGGGTATCGGGGTTCGGGGATTTCTGGTCCAAGATCAAAAATGGAAGGCGGATGTCCGGGAATGTGCAGAATGAGGATACATTGGAGTTCTTGCCTAGGCGCTTTTCTTTGGGAGGCTGGGGCGGACTCGGTCAACCGGCTGTTTGCAGCGTGCCACATCACATACCCCTTAATGATGCCGAGCTTCTGACCAACAAACAACTACATCATAATCCGCCATGTTACGTATCTATGGCCTGCCGTGAGTACTTGAAGACTTTATCTGTAGCCGCGCCAACTCACAGATCCGAACGCAACGAGAGTAAAGGACAAACGACAGTTCAGGGTGTTGCAGAAGTCGGTCAGAGGCTTTGCAATGCAATGAGCATTTTTTCGCAAATATCCTGTCCAGAAGGGCATACAGGATTTGGGAACCCTAAGCACTAAACCCTGTACAACCCTTAACAAACCCCCGCAAAACCCACAGCAATGCAGACAGGTGGCTTCCAGGCGCTTGCATGGCCGTTGACCATCAGCTTTTCCTTCTTCGGTAGTTCTCTAAATGGGTGGTTGTCAAAATTAGGGCCCCTTTCTGGGTACCCTAAATATTAGATGCCGTATTATAAGAAACTGTACCAGTGACACTAACAACAACGCGAACAACAACAAGAAATGATAAGAAGAAGAATAGTGATAGTAAGTACGACGAAAATAACAATTCTAACTAGTTCTTATGGTACTTAATAATGTTCGAGACAACTAGCAGCAACCAGCAATAATAGTAAAAACACTAATCAGTCAAGAAAACAACTGTGGCACGAAGGTCGCTGGTTTCATCTAATCGTACACCGCTTAGTATCCCTGAGCCTGCATCAAGCAGAAGAGCAGCACGCCGTGCTAGTAGTGAGCTACTTGGCACAGGAATGACCAACGATGGCCCCAAAGCCTAAACCCCAGACCTTAAACCAAAACGCCTCACATCCTAAATCCTGAATCCGGAAACCCTAAAACCCCAAACCTAAAACCCTAAAGCCCTAACCTGAGCTCCCGTTCCAGCGCCAAAGGTTCGGTGATGAGAAGAGCTTCGGTGTGATCTCCACAGAGCAAGTGAGCAGCCCCACAGAGGGCCATCACCTCACGTAGGGGGGCCTTGTAGGAGTAGGGTTTCGATAAGGAATTCGTTTTCAAGGGTTCTGTAAGGGTTCTGTGATCCAGGGGGCCGAATACATCGAAAACAATCTGTGGCACATTGCAGCAGCACTATATTGAGGAACTTGGAAGAGTTTGCGGGGATCCCCCTATAGTTGTTGTAAACCACTGCACACACGCACTGATAATATACCCGTCCAAGTGTTAGCAAACACAGCAGAATACCATTGGGTATCTACCTTTTTCCTGCTAGAGCACTTGTGCCACAATGCCGTACACACAACATGCTACTTCACACGTGCACAAATTACACCCCCCTCGCCGAAGCGTCAGTCTGAGGCGCAAACATGCACGGAAGCTTGGTGCTGTGTGGCCTGCCGTAAAGGCGGCTGGATTGTGGCTCGGGGCTCATAGGCTTTCTACTACCGTAAAGCGGAAGATACGGAAGCAGATTAATTCTTTTAGCGCGCAGTTTAAAGTCGCGACATGCATTATAAAATGGCGACGATCCAGCAAGCCTTGAATGATGGCGTGGATACGAGTCGCAAGACATGTGCAGCATGGGACGAATACATCATCCACTGGAGCTGCTGACGAATCCCCTCGAGGTCCAAAGACCTGGTGTCGGAGTTGTCACAAAGTGACTGCCAGATGATGCAAGATGAAATTTTTCTGGTCTTAAGGAAATTCGGCCACCTCTAAGAGGGGCTGTATTTCGGAGTACCGGTTAACGTGACGGAACCACGAAATGTGGGTCAGGTACTTAGTACCATCCCCGGGAACCGGAGGAGCGGCCATAGGGGTGGGATCCTCGCTGGTAGCCGCGATCCCATCCCTGCTCCTGGTAGCGCTGCTGCTCTGCTCTGCGGGCATCAGCTTTGGCTTGCGCGATGCGAGAGCGTTCAGCGTTGCGCTGTCGCTCTTCGTATGCACGGCGTGCAATTCCGACCTGTTCCGCGAATTTCTCACGGAGCCACTCAGTCCAGTCCTCAGCAGAATAGCCGAGTCTTGGATCAACATAGAGTGCCTCTTCTGAGAAAGTAACAATCATCTTCACGATTTTGTGCTGGAGGAAAACATCTACGAATTTACGCAAACTGTATGCCCCTCCCAGCCACATGATGCAAAACGGATCGTCACTCACTGCGGAGATCAGGCCTGCCCTAAGGGCGGCTGGATTGCAGTCGTGCAGGTAGAGCAACCGAGCGATCTCCTGGTTCCGTGGCCCTTCGGAGCTTCCACCATAGGTCCCGACAGCTAACTGTCGTTGCTCCTTTGAACGGCCATGGTTCGGCAAGGCAGCATGCGTAAGCACGTCTTCGATGGCCAGAAACTCTCGATCGTACCCATTGCCGATGGAACTCATTGTGTAGTCCACATCGTTATCGAACCGGTGTACGATGCTTGTGTAGCCTCCTTTTGTAGCCATCTTGAGCTGCTGCCGGGCTTTGTCCAGCGCCTCTGCGTCGAGCGATGTCGTTCCCCGCTGTGTTGAAGAATCTCTGGTCATTTCATGAATGACCTCCTCCGGTGTAAGCTGGGAACGTGGCTTGCCCGCAGCGGCGGCGGCTGCCTCTTCAGCGAACCAACGAGCCGAACGCGCTTTCTTGCGTGCGTTCTGCTGAGAAGGCTTCACGATGTGCACGCCACAGCTCAAGCATATCATCTGTCCCACAAGGTGTTGAGTACCGCAGTGGGGACATGCCCTGTGGCGGCCACCCGTAACGGGGGCTGGAGGGAGAGCCAAAGGAGTCGATTCCGGCTGAGGCGGTGCCTGCCCGAACATCGGCTCGATCTTAATCTCCTCCTCCTTTTTCACATCTCCTTCTTCAGGCTCGATTTCGATCTCGACTTCAACGTGATCTTCCGGCTCGAGGAAACGGACACGCTTTCTGGACTCAGTCGGTGCCTCCGGTGGAGAAGCACCCCCCTGGTCCAATGTTGTGGTTTCCTCCGGAAGGAAGTCGGATGCTGTGGCGTCGTTGAGTGCAAGAGGTTCTGGCGATGATGCTGGTGGTGCCACCTCAACCTCAACTTCGACCATAGGCTCGTCTGCTGTTGCAGACGCTGTTGTCTCGACCTCTTCATGGCCACCACTAAGTGGGGCTGAAGGTTCCTCCGGTACATCGGGGAACTGTTCCGGCTCAGCTGCTCCAGGATCGACAATGGGATCCTGGGCAGTCTCCGGGATGATGGTGTCCTCTTCCTCGCTGGACTGACGCGACCACAGAATGATGCCTTTGATCGTGTCCCTGATGTAGAGCACACAAGATCCTGGCACTGGGTCGCGCGTGAGTATGCCTTCGGAAGTTGTTTCAAACAGGTAGGCATAGCGGTTCACCTCCTGAGTGTCGAGAACAACTTCATAAGGAAGGTTTGCTCGGCTGCCAGCTTTATTCTCAAGCTCGCTCAGCGTGGCCTTCGCGAAGTAGTTGTGAAACTTCCCGCTCCGGTTGAAGCCAGCTGTGAAGCCAGTAGAGAGAATATTGAAAGCTGAATCATGCGTGGTTCGATGATACAGGCGTGGGGGAAACTCCCCAAGAGCAAGGAATGGCCTGCCTTGATAGGCGGCTGTAGGACCAAGCTCCTCACGCGTCTCGTTCGTGAACCAATGCAGAGCAATCGAGGAATCAGTCACCTGATCTTTGATGCGTTCACTGTGACCATGTGACGCACAAATCCACGACGGCCAAATGTCCGTCTCGACGAAGTCAGCACGTGGATCGGTGGGGAGGCCTGCCAAGTTAAACCTCGATTTGTTATCGTAGGCGACTATGGACAAGATACCTCGAGTTCCCAGATCCACACGGTGCTTCTTCCACATGTGCTGAATGAGGTCTTGGATGCGTACCCATTTGCCTCGCCGTGAGCTGAGCTTCACGTTCGACCCTCGGACAGCACCTGTGAGGTAGCGCTCAACATAGGGTTTGAGGCCTAACTCAGGGAGGTGGTCCTTCGGGATCGAATCGGGGAGGATCTGGACGATCTCGCTCCCCTCAGGATCCTCCGGACACACATCTTCATCGACGAAGCCACACATCTCCATCAGGTCCAAGTCGTCTTGGAATTTCACCCCAATGTAGTCGTGTGGGCGAGCCCTTAAAAGGCCGCTGGAAGGGTCCCGGTCCTTCTTGGTCATGCCCTCTTTCGCAGCAGACAGAGTACGGTGTGACTCAGTGCGATAAGGGATGGCCTCGATGACATCGTCAAAGGACACCTCCGGTACGTCGCGAGATGATGCACTGCCAGATAGGCCACCACTAAGTGGGGCTGGATCCTTTCGCTCAGCACGGGCACGTGCTTCCGCCTGCTCTTTTGCACGCTTTTGCGCCTGTTCGCGAGCTGTGGCCCATTCCCAATTCAGGACATCCTGAGGTACCTCACGCATTCCAGTGACCGGGAGATCAGGTGGAGGAACATAAGGGGATTCCCATGGGTCAGGGCATTCATTTGCAGCTTCGCGAATTTCGGCCTGCCTTAAAAGGCGGCGGGAGAGCTGGGACCGATACAGCGCCTTGTCGAAGACATACTGCATGGAATATACCCGCGTTCCTTCTGGGTCGAAGGGGAAACGGCGGGCCAGCTCATCCAGCGTCTCTGAGGGCATCTTTGCGAATAAGTGGTCAGCTTGACACACTTTAATCCGCTGCCCGATAACAGAGGCCAAGGCTGCGCGATGCGTAGAGTCCTCGCGGAAGTGGTAGTGGTCGTGCTTTGGGATCTGGCATACGCTTTCTTTGAGCGAAGCGGTGTATAACCCCCTGCTCCTTGCGTATCCGAGGAATTTTCGGATAGCTGTTCTGTATTCCGCTGGCAGCCCATAGTCCAGTGGGTCGGCATCCGAGAGGATTTGTATCGACCCAACTGTTGGCCTGCCCTGAAGGGCGGCTAGACGGCCGATTTCACCGCACACACGTGCGGCAATGTCCGCCCAGATCCCTTCCGCGGCAACGCCTTCAGGACCAATCTGCCAGTGTGGCGTTCCTGGGTCGACGAAGACACCTCTGCGACCGCACAGTTCGTTGCCCATCCACACAACAACGATATCGACCTCGAGATGCAAGGGATTTAACGATTCGTTGATGATCTGCGGCAAGAGCGTGTGAACTGCCTCAACGATCGAGTGGAGGTTGCCTCCCCAAATCGCCTTTTGCCGGACATTCGTGTATTGCTGAAGGATATGACCAGGCCCCGTCAGAGCTTTAAAGTCTTCCGCCATCTCAACGAATGTTCTCGCCCCAGCCTTGAAAATGAGGGTAGAGTCGGAAACAATGATGCAGGCTTTTTCACGGCCACGGCTATCGCCGGGCTGGAAACGCGACAACCCCTCGTCGTTGATCCGTGCCACCTTAGGGAGGGCCTTATAGCCATGATCAACATCTCCCAGACACGTAGACAAAGCGGTTTGCGCGATTGCGCCTGTGTAGAGCTGTTTCACGCTCTCTTCCCAGTCACGGTCTGGGTTGAGTCCGAGCTCGTGTCCGAAGACACCGGCCCACATATGGTAGTGAGCCCACTCCCGCTTGATTGAGTCACCCGATGCGGCAATCGTCGCTGGCGCCGACGGCTTGTTCTCGCCTTCTGCTCGCACTCGGGGATCACTAATCATCTCTGGCGTGCTCTGATGAGCCGCTGCACAGGGGCAGGCAAGCACCTTCCTAAAGTTCGCAAGATTAGCAAGATGTGAAGATGTGAAATCCTCTAAATCATCATGATCTGCGACTTCGTGCTTGTAAGATGCCTTAGCGATCAGATGCTGGTTTCCTGAGCGGAAGCTTTCCTTAGCAAAGTTCGCAAGTGGCAATGCCTGGAGCCCTGCGCACACCAGATATGCGTTTTCAAGTCGTGCAACTTCGGCATTAATTCCGTCGAACATGAATTCGTCGACGGGCCCACACAAGAGAACACAGAAGTTACTGGAAAACAAGTGAGCCAATTCACCAATCTCAACAAGACTCCTTTGTAACCTCCTCAAGTCACCT